TTTTTGGTCCGGACCAAACAATTGGACCAAAGGACTTTCCTGGTCTGAATACACCCTAGAAAACATAATAGACTCAAACGGAATATAAAGATATCTTTGCAGCACCGGGAGAAACTAAATAAAAAATTCTCTGCACTCTAAGAGACTCCAAATACACAACAAAATGTATTTGTCAGTTAAAACAGTGGAGTTTTTTTGACATGTCCACTTTAAACCATTGCCAAGTAAATATGTAAAACTGATTTTTTTTATGTAACTCACTTGAAAACAAGGCACATTTTATATGTAAGATATGTTTTGTAAATTCTGTGTTTAATTGACCATGGCTGCAGTATAGTTGTTACAGCAGAAATATATATATATATTTACTGTTTTTTTTTAACCAAACTGAGTTTCTCCAGTAAAATTATTGTGTAATTTAAAGGCAATGAAACACCTGGTTAAATTTAGAAGATATTATGATTAACTACAAGCACCTGAAGCTGACTCAGAGAACTGTGATTTTAGAAAAAATAAAAATCAAATGTAGACACGTCTTTAAGAGACCCTCCTCCTCCCCACCCCGCGCAGCTGCGGTCAGCTCACCTCCTCTCCACCCCATCCGCGTGATTAATACAGATTTTTTTTTGCGCAAATTACAAGTTTTTGATGCTCATTAAACACGTGTCTGAAGGGGTTGACATGTATGAACTCCCAGGCTGTWCGGAGCCGAGCTGCAGGTGGACATGTTCGCTGCCCCTCGCTTTAAAAACAGTCAGCTGATCTGTYGTGGTTTTGTTGCGCTCGTGACGTGAACACACAGGAGGAAATGCTACGAAGTGCTTTTAGAAATATAATAAATATAAAATACGACGTAATCCTCGGTGGAAAATAGTCCAGGAGATGTGTGCGTTCCCGGGAGGTGTTCACCTGCAGCTGAGTGAAGCTGACCCCCCACCCACAGAGAAAGAAAAAAGGCAGTAATTATTGATAAGGTAGTAACCATGCTGTGGCTTCACCTGTCNGCATTCCCGGGAGGTGTTCACCTGCAGCTGAGTGAAGCTGACCCCCCACCCACAGAGAAAGAAAAAAGGCAGTAATTATTGATAAGGTAGTAACCATGCTGTGGCTTCACCTGTCACATTTTCTTTTAAAGAAAGAAAAAGTAGCTTGCAAAGCTGTCGCATTGGTGCTACGTGATTAAAAACAGAGCTGCGCGTCTAATGTCACACACGTCTTCCTGTCTTTGTGAGGACCACACACAGCGCTCAGCCTCTCTCTGCGCCGTCTTTTTCCCCAAGTTTGGTGAGAGGTGGATGTGGAGAGATGCAAAAAATAGCTCTCGACTTGATCTGGCCTTATTTAAATAAAAATAACTGCATGCCGTGAAATTCTTAGAGGGGCGGGCCGTCTCGTTGGCGGGAGGCCGCCCCACCTGTATAATGGTAGGGGAAACACTGGCTGCTACCTTTAGCTTATTTTATGCTCATTTTAGCTATATTATGCTACTTTAGCTATTCTTATGCTTTTTTCTACTTTTAATACTTTTTTACAGCTACCTAGTGCTATTTATGCTTCTTACAGATGTTTTCAGCTATATTCAGCTGTTTTAGCTCTTAGCTTCTAGCTGTTTTCTGCTTTCAACTAGATTTGTGCTTTTTACTGTTTTTCTGCAAAGTTAGGCTTTTTTGCTTCTTTCAGTTTTTCAAAGTGAGCTCACATTAACACTTCGTATCAAATATTTTCAGCAGCTTTCAGCTAACGTTTTCAGCATGAAGGATTCACATTAGCATTTTCGCAGGAAATGCAATTTCTCTAGTTAGCCTTTATGGTTAAAGCATTAGCAACTGGATTAATTTTTAGCTTATTAAGTATCATCCTAAATTATTGATGTTTTCAAGGTTAACCAACCATTTATTAATGATTAAGTAAGGATAAATAAGGTGTAGTTATTATGAAGTTCTACCCAATATTTTTTTGTATGTTGTTCTTCACTATCTTTCCTCTTCTTTTTCAGCCTGAGTGGTAAAGAGCACAGCGTCTTTACTGGTGTTGCTATTATCCTCTGTCATGAGAAGGAAGGTAAGTTACAACTCTGTGACAGTTTGACTTCACCATTCATTCATTCACCATTGGGTGAAATTTATCAAGCTTGCAAAAGTGAAAATACATTTTAGGATTTTTACAAAACCAGCTCCAAGGAACAAGCTTAAAGTAATGTATATTGTACATTTGTTTCTTAAATGTGATCCATCACATCAAAATGAGGATTAAGTCTAAAAGTTGTATGTGAAGAAATAGCACTTTTTTGAGTATTGGCAACCAAAAACCAGATTTTGAGGAAAAAAAACACTTTAAAATGTTGAGATTTTCACTGTAAGCTATCAAAGCTTTTTTTTTTTTTTTTTTTTTTTGTTTCTTTCCAGCTGGGACATCTCAATATTAAAATACTATTTGAGGTTTCTTTTTTTCAAATGACATAGAAAATCCATTAAAATTACATGAAATAAGGATTTAGACTAAATATTTATGCATGATTGTAAAAAAACAAGACAAATTAAATAATATCTCTAGATCTACTAATGATATCAGGATGATCTAAGTATCAAAATGTAGCTTTTAAAGCCAGGAATTTGAAAACATGATTAGGTCATTTTTGAACAAATTTGACTCATTTTGATGTGATTGGTCACAAATGTGTACGGTGAGCCTTACTTGGTCGAATTGAATGCCTTCATCACAAACACATTTGATTCCTAAACTTTCCTGACCCTCTTCACACAGATGAAGAAGTGGATTACCAGCTGATACACTTCTATGAAGAAACAAAGGTGAAGTTTGCTGATCTCTCAGAAGATATGCTATGGGAGTACATCAATAGTGGTGAACCCATGTGAGTAAGAACAATGTGAACTTTGAGCTTCACTATGTAATAGCTATTGATYCCCCTTTTACGCAGCAGCTTGGACCAAGCAGCCGTTCAATGAATACTGTTTAACTGTGAACTCCATGCACCTGTTGCTTATTGGCCTTTAATCCCTGACGTTTGTCTTGTTGTATTTGGCACGGTTTGTAATATATTTAGACTCAGGTCAGCATAGGTACATTTGAAGAACAAATTACAAACTCTTCACTTTTTCATTATGTCTGATGAGTCTGAGTCCATGTGCTGCTGCTTGAGAAAAATGTGGTGTAGCATGAAGAAGTGCTCTCCTGACCATGACCTCTAAGCCTGAGGTCATCTTTCCTAACTGAACAGTTTTTTTTAAGTTACTTTTGACCTAAATAATATCTGATGTTTCCTGCACATTCACTGTTCTTGGACACTAAATTAGCTGCAGTCTGACAAATGCTTACACATTTCTTTTAGTCTTAAAAAGTCATAAATGGTGTTTCTTTTATTTGATTCTGACCTGTTTGAAACATGAATAATGTTGATTTATTGTTTAGCAATTGTGAAATCATTGAAAAGCTATAATAGGTTTTAACAGATCTTTTTTTTCCCAYTCAAGAACTTATCTTAAAGAGACTCCTGTTTGTAAGAATGTTGACCAGACAGCATTGCACATCTAAGAGGGATCAATTCAGTCTGAGAGATTTCAAAAACATTTTTTTGAGCTGACAAGTCAGACAAAAACTGAGCTTTTGTGCGTCGAGTTCAGTCTTATCTTCGTCTCCGCAATCTCATGATGTGTTTTTGTGTGCGTCTTCATTAATATCTGCAGAGAAAAGCAACAAATTTTTTATCAGAAATAGGGCTGCCACAAACGATTATTTTTATAATCGATTAATCATCTATTATTTTTTTCGATTAGTCGACTAATCGGATCATACGTTAATTGAATATAAAACACACAGCTAATCGCGCCAGAATGCAGCTGCTATTATATAACCATCGTTAGATTTTAGCTATATGCTAACTAAAAATAATTGCTGTGGAAGGYAAGTTCTGCTCTGCAGATATTACACAGGTTTCTCTTTCATTTTCTTAAAATGATCCCACACTTGGAGCTCTGTTGTCAGGTAGCCATGATACCAGAGCCTGTCTGTATAATGTCTTGTGACGTCCACGGCCTACCCCAGTTACCACTACTGTGCATGTGTGTCAAGGACAGAAAGGCAGATGTAGCAGTGGAAGGTGTCAAAGCAGTTTGGAGAGAAAAACAAAGTAAAGAACAAAAGAAAAGAGAAAACGATTAATCGATTATTAAATTAGTCATCGATTAATCAATTAATCGTTGCAGCCCTACTCAGAAACAATTTTCGTTAAAGCAAGTAGGAAAAGAAATATAGTTAACTACAGACACTGAAAGACTTACATTACTACTGTGAGATCAGCCATTGGAGTGGCTACTGTCACCCACAGTTCAGTTCAGTTCAGTTCAGTTTGATTCAGTTCAGTTCAAGACAAGACAAGACAAAGGAGTTAGCAAAAATCCTTCCAGCTGCACAGCATCTAATAGCAGAATAATCATCCAAAAAAAAACAAACAATTTTTATCCAAAAGAGGAATTTGAAAAGTTTTAAAAGAATTTGTCAGGATGAATGTCTGCCACCTTGAACGGCACAAAGAAGAGCTCAGACAAGCTTTAACTCTGCCATCAGCTGTGGGACTTTCAGACAGCTGTCGACCTCAACTGACCCTTGGTTGACTCCAGGGTCCCAGCCTGAACAGGTATCATATCTTCACGCTAAGCTCCCGGGGTAGGCACATCCAGTCCATTTGGACCACATTCCTGCACCTGGGCATGGTCAACAAGCAATAWCAATTCTGGTTGACACGTTTTAATTTTATCCAAACTCCGAAGTAAACTATCAAATAGTTAAACTTTACGTAAATATTTGTGCGTATAAAACAAAATAAATTCTGCCCAAATACATATTATTGTTGTAGAAAAATGAGAAATAAATTGTTTATTCTTGTCTTGAATTGTTACACTACCAAGTCTTAAGTAATTCTTTAAACTAGTTAACTATGTAAGGAGAACGTAACACCCCTCTTCCTCCCTCACTTACATCCTCTACAGTGGTCAGAGAAACTGTTTCTGTGTGTTTTAGGGACAAGGCTGGTGGCTATGGTATTCAAGCTCTTGGTGGCATGCTGGTGGAGTATGTCCATGGAGACTTCCTAAACGTTGTGGGGTTCCCCCTCAACCACTTCTGCAAACAGCTTGATGTTATTTACAACCACCGTTTTTTGGTTACTCAGAAACCACCTAACTCACGTAAAGACAAATCCAGTCTCACACGCAGCAACCCCTCGGACAGTCCAGCTCATAAGGTTTGTTCATTTCAATATCTTGAGACAAATTTGTTGTTTTTTCTATTCTTTTAACCCCAAACCTTCATCTCTTTCAGGTGAAAAGGAAAGATGGTCAAAGTGAAGCGAGTGAGAAATCCTGGACATTGGTCAACAGTTTGTCTAACTGCAGTGATGAACAGAGCAAACTTCATGACTCTGAAAATAAATCAACACTGATAATAAGCAAAGAAAATGGARTTAAGCTCAATGTGACTGCAGATGAAGACAGTGAACCGACAAAAGAGGACTTGCAGCRGCTTTATGACCTTTTGGATGGATTCAAAGCATCAAAGGTAGTTTGTGTTTCTCTGAGGAACTTTTACAGTAAAAGTAGGTTCTTATTTTTTATAAGTATAGAATAAAGAAATAAAGAATAAGTAAAATGTGTTTAATTTCTTCACACATTGTGCAGCGTAAGATCTAAGTGCTGTGCTCATACATGATTGTGAAAGAGAGGTGTTGCACAAATTTTATTTCTGCACATATTCATGTGCAGTGTTTGTGGTTGTCTTAGCTCGTTGGTTGGAACTTTCAAGTGATGACAAAACATTAGTCTCCAGATTAAACCGATCAGATAAATACTGCTATGCATTATTTTTTAGAAGTGTGACAGAAAAAAAGTTCTTGTAGTAATTTGGCATAAAAAGATATGGAATTACTCATTTCATTACATGCAAATTTTAATGATTCACTGGTTTCCATGCATCATTTCAACCTACAAAACTGATGGTTAAGTTAATATTAACCTAACCTCATTGCGGGGTTTTTTTTTAAACGTTGTTAGCTCATGAATGTTGTTTGGCTTACTGAAGAAATTAGTCTTTTTATGATGAAGTTTCATTAGGCTTTTTTGTTAGTTTTTTGTTTTAGCACCTTGGTAGATATCTTGTGCTGCCTTTCTGTATTCATGACATGTTAGCTTATTTATTTTTTCATCTTATTCATTGACTGTTTCAGTCTTAATTCATTTCAATTGACATTCCTGAAGCATTATTATTTTCCATGAAGTAAATAAAGCAACAATGATTCAGCATTAGCTGGGTCTCAATTCATGGGCTTGGTCCTCATGAGTACATATCCCAGCTGGGCCATGTGGGCCACACCCTCCCCCGACTGGGTAGGCTGCTTAAAACCACTGTGAAATGAGACGGTCTATCCTTCGCTTGATGTAAGTTTGCGTGGCCGTGTGCCTTTACCAGAGTGATCAGTTTCATGTAAGACATGTTTTTACACGTCTTTACACTGGAAGAATAATTTCACAGTTAAAACTTTACATGTAAATAAATAAACATAAATAATTCGGGTTTAGCTCTTATCTGTACTTATAGTTGCATTTTTTAAATTTAATATCTTATTGCAGCATACATTTCATCAGCTAAGTTGCTAAACTTATTTTTAAAAATAAATTATTTTCTCCGATCGGAATTTTCAAACTATACTGACTCGTTAAAAACATAAAAACTCATCCATCTTCGTTTGTTTAGTTTGCTGTCGGCGCATTGAATCCTGGGATATCCTCGGCCGGTGAGGACACACAGATGCATCCTCGGATTTTTAGAGTTTATTAGSCTCATTTCTTGGCCGCATGACGAGGAGCCTTTGAAGTGACGTATGCGGCCGACAAATGCTCACTCATGAGCGTGCAGCCCCTGAATTGAGACATGATTGTGTGAACTTGTGCTTCAAATACAAAAAGTAAAAAAAAAAACATCTTTATATTTAAGAAACTTGGCATAATACACATGATTTAACCCATTTTGTCACATAACTGGCATATTTTCTTTAGAACTTAGCTCACCCGAAATGAAACAGGAAGTGACATAAAAGGGGCACTCTTTGAGAAAGGAAACTCCATGGTCTTTGTTTATTGAAACATTATCTGAACTCTGACTCTTCATCTCGCTCTGAAAGTGATAAAATAATCAAAAGGAACAACATATTCTTCGTCACAGTCTGTGTTGTTAGACATGTAGCACTGTTGTGTTAACATGCTAACATTCTCCTAAGTAGGTCCTCTGGATTATTTTCTTTTTTTCTTTTTGATTTTTTCTACCTGGATTACTGAGATGCATCAGGACACTCCTTTGTCATCACTTCCTGTTACTTCACATGCAAATATCTGAACAATTGTTCAGCTCATTGGCTTGAAACTTTTGTAACAATGTGCTAATGTTATCTTTTCAAAAAATATTACAAAAATTTGATGTCATAGGCACTTTAAGTTCTCTGAATTGTTAAAACTGGAAACTGTAGTTTTCTTTTTCTTATTTTTTGCCTAGGAAAAAATGTGGAAATGAAATTAGCTGTTTTGATTCAAGATTAAAGATGCTCATTGTTGCCTCGTTAGCATCTCTGATTGGTAAATCTATTTTTTAACACATTTTTTATCCAAAACACTGAGGTGCAATAAATTTTCACATTTATTTTAAAACTTAGCAGGCAGTTTTTGTCACCCTATGTCACATTTACTTAAACACAATTGTGTTCTGTAATCACTAAATCTTTTCTGCTTATCTAAAAATGTCCCAGGCACTCTTTACAGCCTCCAAGCTGTGTGTGTTCGACTTGCTACACAGTAGGCCGGGACTAGATGCAGAGCAGGTGGCCCAGGAGATCGACTCGTCTKTGAAGGGGACTGAGTGCCTGCTGGAAGCCTGTGTGTCTCTGGGACTGTTGAAGACTAAGGAGAAAAGTCAGTCAACTCTCTGCTCAGTTCAGAAATACAAGTATTAAAGTTCAGATGAACTTAAAATATCTTCTTCTGTCTGTTTTTCTTCTTGCAGCGTGTGCAAAGCCTGCATACGAGAACACAGATCTGGCTACACATTTCTTGCGATCAGATGCTTATTTTTCCCTGCACGGATACATCCAGCACTGCAACGACACACTGTGGCCTCTTTACTCGCATCTCCAAAGTGCTGTCAAAGAGGGAACTAGTCAGCGTGATAAGGTCAAGAAAGCTGAAGATGTATGTAAGCAGATCATTCAGCATCAGGTTTATACACTACAGAGAAGATATGCAAAGAGATAAACAACAATTTTGTCTCTGTTTCGAAGAATACCTTCTGTAACAGCCAAGAAGCCAAACTGAAATTCATGAAGGCCATGCATAGCTCTGCTAAAGTCACAGCTAAAGCCATAGCAAGATCTTTTGACCTAAGCAGCTATAAAACAGCCTGTGACCTCGGAGGTGAGATTGCTAAAAATCCCTGTATTTTATCCGTCACAAATCATTCCTTTACATATGTTTATGCTATTCCAGGATGCACCGGTGTGATGGCCTATGAGTTTATCAAAGCCCATCCTGAACTGTCTGTGACGGTGTTTGATCTGCCTGTTGTTGTGGAGATGAGTGAACATTTCCATCCACAGCACACAGACAACAGGGTTTCATTTMAAGCTGGTCAGTTTGTTCATCTACTCTAAAACATTGCTTTGATTATCATCCCCTTTTATTAAACGTCCCACTCTGTGGTCATTGAATGTGACTTTTTTCTCATTTTATGAACAGGAGACTTCTTCAAAGACGAGTTGCCCAAAGCGGACTTGTATATCCTTGTGAGAGTTCTTCACGACTTGACTGAGGAAAAGCTGCACGTTCTGTTGAGTAAAATTGCAGCTGCATGTACTCCAGGTAACAATCCTATAACTTTATTATCCTTTTATTGAGATAATTAAGTTGAAAGCTAAAATACTTTATAAAGCAATCATTTAGTAAGACTGGTGCACCTGACACAAGGTTTACTTTCCCTTTTGTGAGAAAACTCAAATCTAAGAATGAGCCGCTTCTTTACAGCCTGGTTGAGAACTGCTGCTAATTGTCAGCAATCTGAGGGTTAAAAAGGGACAGATCACTCAAAACTCACCTTTTTAGCTGTTAAATACATTTTGTTTTGTATTTGGAGTTTGTGGAGGTGCAGAAAAGTTGTATTTAATTTCTCCCCGTTCTTTTTCGGTCATGTTTTTCAGCATGCTCATTTTCTCTATTTTCTATGACGTTTTCTTAACTGTTCTGTCACAGTGAAGGAAATTTTGTAAATGATTAACTGAATGTTAGATGCAGTATTGTATTTAAAACAGACAAAGAGTTGGTGTGTGTTATCGATGTGTTTTTTCTGTTTGTATAAACAGTTAGCACCTTCAGCAGTGTAACCAGGAAGAGATTAAACGGTTGAATCATTCTGATATGGGAAGAAGTGTTTTTGGAAATTTAGTTTTGCAGCCCAGTCTGTCCAGGCTAGGTCTAAGCAGAGACTCCGCAAAACAACTTCTCTTTACTACAATGATGAATTGATCTAATGTATTTCTCTTCCTGGTTACACCCCTGGAGTTGTTAACTTTTACATCAGACGTAGAACGTAACAAACTTTTGTTTGTTACAGAGAGAACACATGATAACACACACCAACTCTTATTCTCTGCTTTAAACTGTAAGGCTGCAATGATCAGGAAGTATAAAATACAATACTGCATCTAACTAATCACTTACAAAATTTCCTTCACCGGCTCAAGTCCTTAAGCCTGGAACATACCGGTACTCGTTATGAAGCTGAACAGTCAATGCACGGTCATACCGTTATTCGGCATTCATTTTCGCATACACCTAACAGTGTTGCCAGATCTCGCGGCAGAAACAAGCAACCAGCTCTATGAAAACAAGCCCAAAGTAAGCCCAACTGGCAACCCCCCACATTGTGTAAAATAGAGGTAAATTATAACAGTACTGTATAAACATATACATTTATTATTGCATTATACATAAGCAACAGCAAAATTATGATAAAAATTACCATAAAAATGAACAACTTTAATGGTTTGAATAATTTCAATTATTTTAATAACATACTTTTAAACTCTGAACTCTGATCTGGAGAAGGCGTTAGACCGTGTCCCAAGGGGGGCCCTGTGGGGGGTTCTCCGGGAGTATGGGGTACCGGGCCACTTGATACGGGCTGTCAGGTCCTTGTACGACCGTTGTCAGAGTCTGGTTCGCATTGCCGGCAGTAAGTCGGGCTCGTTTCCGGTGAGAGTTGGACTCCGCCAAGGCTGCCCTTTGTCACCGATTCTGTTCATTACTTTCATGGACAGAATTTCTAGGCGCAGCCGAGGTGTTGAGGGGATCCGTTTTGGTGGCCTTAGAATCGCATCTCTGCTTTTTGCGGATGATGTGGTCCTGTTGGCTTCATCGGAACGAGATCTGCAGCTCTCGCTGGAGCGGTTCGCGGCCGAGTGCGAAGCGGCCGGGATGAGGCTCAGTGCCTCCAAATCCGAGGCCATGGTCTTGAGCCGGAAAAGGGCAGAGTGCCTTCTCCGGGTCAGGGGGGTCGTCCTGCCTCAAGTGGAGGAGTTTAAGTATCTGGGGATCTTGTTCACGAATGGGGGAAGAACGGAGCGGGAGATCAACAGGCGGATTGGCGCAGCGTCTGCTGTAAAGCGGGCGCTGTACTGGTCCGTCGTGGTGAAGAGAGAGCTGAGTCAGAAAGCGAAGCTCTCGATTTACCGGTCGATCTACGTTCCTACCCTCATCTATGGTCATGAGCTTTGGGTCATGACCGAAAGAACGAGGTCCCGGATACAAGCGGCCGAAATGGGTTTCCTCCACAGGGTGGCTGGACTCTCCCTTAGAGATAGGGTGAGAAGCTCGGTCATCCAGGAGGGACTCAGAGTAGAGCCGCTGCTCCTCCACGTCGAGAGGAGCCAGTTGAGGTGGCTCGGGCATCTGGTAAGGATGCCTTCTGGACGCCTCCCTGGTGAGGTATTCCGGGCACGTCCCACCGGGAGGAGGCCCCGAGGAAGACCCAGGACACGCTGGAGGGACTATGTCTCTCGGCTGGCCTGGGAACGCCTTGGRGTTCCCCCGGAGGAGCTGGAAGAAGTGGCTGGGGAGAGGGAGGTCTGGGCCTCCCTTCTGAAGCTGCTGCCCCCGCGACCTGACCCCGGATAGGCGGAAGAAATTGGATGGATGGATGGATAAACTCTGATCATAAGAAAAGTGCATTTTGCAGCAAAATGTCAGTACAGTCAACAAAAACTCCCAAAAATCTTTTGTGTTCTCCTTTTTTCCTCACTTTTTATTATATTTTTCCTCATATTTTCCTGACTTACTGCAACTCATTCTCACTCTGTTTTGTCACTTATACTCAGAGGTGAAGAAGTAGTTTTTGCTGATATAAAAAAATTGGCTCTGGTTCATATTGTTCTCTCTCGCTCAATTCATGAAATTTAATCAGCAAATTCCAAACAAATTAAAACTCATCAATATTTTACTGTACTGTACTATCCCAATGAAAGCAGCATATTTTATTTATTTATTTTTTGTCTGTGCACCACCTGTGTAAAATGTCCTGGTCCATTAAATCGAGCCCACCAATCCCCACTGTGTTTTAGAAGTAGACGCGCATGTGCGCTGTAGCAAGTCTCCATTCATAAGTTCTGAACTGGACCAGACCGCACTGCCTCACCCCTGTTTGTTTCCCCGTCACTCTGGGCTCTGGTGTGTGTGTTTGAAGTGTGCCGACTCAACTCGGGCGGGAGTGACAACCAGGAAACGGGGGAATGGGAGGGCCAAACCCACTACTCCTTGTGTTCTGCTTCAGCAGGAGCAGAGTTAAGCATGTCATTCGGAAAAAAAGGCAAGCCCAAAATAAGCAACTCACGTTCAAAATAAGCCCCAAAAAACCGCAACCCGCTACTCACGGAATTTACAAGCGACTTTAGGAAAAAAWAAAGCGCAAAGTTGTTTATAATAAGCGGACCTGGCAACACTGCTTTCATAGCCCCGGAGACGCACCATGCCAAGCTCCTGGGACATCCCTGCTGCAGCCTTTATCACTGCATGGAGTTTCTTACCGCTGGAGTCTATGATGCAGGAAAAATGTCAGACACTCRTCACTCGACATTATTGTCCACAAATCTGTCGCAGGTAAAGCTCCACATTTTTCATCAGTCAGATTCCTCCATGCACAACGTCTGTTTTATTTCAATTCATGAGTTTTTCCACAGTTTGACTATCTTTTTAAAAGTCTGCTAACAGTCGGCTCTGGAAGCAAATTGTTTTTTTCTTTTTGTTTTTTAAATCGATTGGTTGAAAGAGGGCCTTGTGGAGTTACAATAAGGAGGAATTCAGACCGAAGCAGTGCAGTTCCACTTTATATAGGTCCCAACTGAATAATTTAAAAGCATGATATGTCTCCTTTAAGCTTTTATAGAAGTAAGAAAATGTTTATAAAGCATGAAGCACCCACTTACCAAAAGCTGAAAAGTTCACTACTAAGCCAAAATGCCTAACTGCTTATAAAATGCTTTGTTGTTTGCCTGAAGCAGTGTAATGTGAAGAGATGAGTGGGGTACAAAACCAACCCCTGATCTCTAAATATGTATGTTTGCCTGTGCTTTATGCTGCCAGGCTGCGGCCTCCTGCTGGGCGAGATCTTTCTGGAGGAAGACAGAAGCGGTCCGAGTTGCGGCCTGCTGCAGGCGCTCAGCATGAGCGAGGGGAAACAGCGAAGTGCAGCAGAGTACAGTCAGCTTTTGAAGAACCACGGTTTCATCACAGCATATGTCAAACACACAAACAGCCTCCTGGATGCCATGCTTTGCATAAAAGGATAAATAACTACACCCTTACCTACGCACAACTGAAGGTCTCGTCTTATAGGTAAACTTTACCAATACGAAACACTAAATTCAAGATTTTTTTAAGTTAGTTTATTTTATTTTAGGTTTAAATGTTTTTGTCAAATAGGACAAAATCAGAAAGTATTATTGTTTCTTTTTTTTTGCATTTGAACAAAGTGAGAACTTTTTGAGGACATTTAGACCCTACTTTGTTTTGTAACCTCTGGTTATGATGACAGACAGAGGTGTTTTTCTTTCATGAATACACTACATCCTGATCCTGCTCACTATAAAGGTTTTTATCCAGTGGTCTTTATTCAGTTTTATTTTCCGCATCACGTTAAGAACATACATTTTACAAAATCTGTTCCATAATTACCAACGTCTACTAGCTTCTTCAAAAAGCCTTGTTTCACATGTAAAGTGCAAATTCTTATTTCACTCAGTAAATAAAAGAAGACATTCTGTTATGTATTTTTGCATCTTATGGACCAACACAAATGTTATGTGCAATCCACTACTATGAACCTTGTTTACCAGTTATTCATGTTGATTTTTTGTTTCGTCAAAGGCACACAAAGAATTGTCATTTTTGGTCAAACTGTTTGGACAGTTTAGGTAACAGCACTGAAAATTGCACAAAAATGTCCATGGAAACTTCAGTAAGTGTCAAGTGGGCTTTATTTTGTTCTCAACCTATAAAGACCTGTTGGTACCAATTTCAGGTCATAAACCCTGTCTTTCAGTGATGTACTATACAGCGGGTAAAATAAGTATTGAACACGTCACCATTTTTCTCAGTAAATATATTACTAGAGGTGCTAATGACATGAAATTTTCACCAGATGTCGGTAACAACCCAAGTG